GTTAGCCTAATCCTAACCCTCTTCAGCGTAAGGCACCGTATTTTTCGACATTAAATATGGAATACCCTGGCTCTACTACTTGGCTAGTGTTAGGCCCTAAGTTGTGTCATCAGTTTCTGTGGTTATTTTTTATGGGATTGTCAATGCAGGTCTACATACAAGGGATGACAATAAAGCCTAATATACTTTTTTTAAGATAATTTAATTAAAATTTCCCCTGACGAACACAAATGAACTGGCTTTCGACCCGCTCGAGTTTTCATTATATTCCATAGAGTTTTCTTGTTTCTATTTTATACCCAGTTTGCAGCCGCTATTTGGTTCCTTAGACAATTTTCTGGTAATCATACCCTCTTCGCAGCCGCTTTCTGGTTCTTGAGACGTCTTCGCAGCTGCTATTTGGTTCATAACATGTCTTTTTGGTAACTGTGCATGCTCAACATAGCTCGATAACGTCACTTTTTCAATGCACATGTTCACTGACTGTCTAGCATTTCCAAGCGCATGCTCACTGAATTTTTTATAAATAATTCACGGATGTTATTTGGTAACTGCACATGCAGCATTGCTTAATTCGGAATTCCCATATCTTTGTAGTAAAAGCTACCGCTACCTACAGTTTCTTAATGACTATTTCCTCTTGATCGTTACAGCCTAAAGGTGCAGCGCGAAAACATAAAAAACAACTACTACTTAGTACCTAGTGGTAATTTAACAAAAGACTACAGTAGCATGATACAAACCGCAAAGAAACCAGTATGGCTTATCAGGGGTGTCATTTTGAAATAAAATGACAGGAGGAGTTTTAGTAATAGGCGCAGGAACATATGTCGCAGAGCGACATCCGACGTAACTTTGGCCCGAGCTGGGGTGGGTTTGGAAGGGGATCTCTCCCTCCCTACCTTAGAAAAAAATGAAAAATAATTACTGTAAGATGTCATTTAACACTGTTTGAATTGGCATTTAACAGTGTTAAATTTTAACTGTTGAATTTTGTTGCCTGAACAGGGGTTGGATTGGGGTGTCCCCCCTCCCTACCTAAGAAAAAAATATAAAAAATAATTACTGTAAGGTGCCATTTAAAAGTGTTGAATTTTAAGTTTTGAATTGTGTTGCAATGTTTGATTTTAGAATGTATTAAACACTATTTTAAATTAAAAATCCAACAGTCAAACATTTTTTAGGTTAATTTAATTTTCAATAACAATAAATGGATAGCACATCATACATTGTTTGTATTGTAATTATGTATTTTCTTTCAGTGTTTTTTAAAAAACTATTTACATCCAATTGCAGTTCAGCAATTTGATTCTATTTACTTACTAGTTTTCTTACTTTCATCTACATGGCAGCTAATACTTTGCCTTTTCTTCATGCAGGTATTTTTAATTAACTTTGCAAATATACAAAAAAATTAATAAAATATAAGAACTTCTATTTATAATCGAAAAAGTCAACATACTGAAAAAAAACAATGAGATACAAAATTGGTAACCAAAAGCTAAAATTTAAATGTAAAAGTAAAACGGCCAGTGAGATAAATTCCTAGCTTTTTTGGAGGAGCCTCAAGCCAACGACGGTACTATTTTGCAGAGGCCCTTTTGTTGTCAAGATATTAAAGCTTAGAATGTAGCATAAATTAACGGTGAATAAAAATCATGTTTTCTCCAAGCCCTAAGTATGAGCCTAGGTTTCAGGCCACTATTTTATTTTTACCTCCGTTCTAACAGCCGGTGCATAAATCATAATAGACAGAGATTGCGCCGGCCGCCGGCTTAAAATGACACCCTTGGTTTACTCTTTCCTTATTAATCTTTTTAAGAATAAGAAGTACTGTGAAATGTGTGAAATCCAGGGAATTCTGTTTACATTACAGTATTATGAAGGCCCCTCTCTCTAGCTCTCTTTAGCTTGCCGGTGGCCAATGATCTATCGGGACGATCAGCGATACGCTCTGCTGCTGCTCCCTTATCCTGTCCCTATTTTGGGCGGGTAGGCCTACACGGTCGCTGTTGTTTTTAGTATTAGAGTACATTTAATTTACTAACCTTTTAATATGTTAAGCAGTTCTTGTTTCTGTATTGACCTAGTTGTGTCATCATATACTTTACACTGATGCCCTTCATATAATTCCACAGCAGTTTCGCCATTCTTAATTGTGTAATAGATGAAAGCAAAAAAAATTTGAATGGTTATTATTAATGTAATATGATGTCTCCATTTGGTCATCCTAAATAAATAGAATGGTTGTTGGTATGAATCAATAATGTATACAGAGCCTTATATAATCAATAATTAAAAACCTATAAATTACCTGTACAATACCTGCAAAACTAAATTCCATACTATTGATCATGATATTAATAAAATATGAGATTATACCTTCACTATAATATTAAGACAGTATACCAGTACATGATATTGTTAGTTTCACATTAAATACAGTGCTCTATACTTTGTTTCATTGCAACATTGCACCATTAGGGAGCTACAGTATATAATGTTTATAAAAACAGACTTTATGCAATTATCAATAAAATGCATCTTTAACTTACATTGTTTTTCACAGAAGACATATATCTGTGATTCTTCATCAACGCAAGAGACACAGAAAGATGGTGTTTATAAGTTCCCTCAGAATCCAAAAAACAATCATGTAGAGGAGTGTTGCCATACTAAAATAAAAAACGTTTATATTTTATTTAAACAAACTACATTGTTACTATGGATGTATAATTAATGTGAGGATAGAAACGCCAAAGCTCCCACCGTGTGCAATTTTGTGATGCCTTTGAAGTCTGTTCTTCACCAGTACATATCAAAATTTATTAAGTACAGTATCTTGTTTTTATAATGGGTACGGTTTTATAAGTACGGTCCATTTCAATGGTTGTGTAACTGTTTCCAATATAAAGCCAATAAATTTATCTGAAAATACAAATATTGTCAACAGAAAAATGTATTTAAATTTAAAGAAAAATTGAAATGAACATTTAAAGTATATGGTAACTAAATATCAACTTGAATTTTTGAAAATTGAAAACATGAACTCAATTGTTCTAATTGAAACACAGTATATCGATCAAGGAAAAGACTAAAGATAACAATACTAAAGTCAATTCAGTGTGAAAACATGTGGAGTACTACAAACTTTAATTGAAGGAGTAGTTTTTAAAGTTTCACTGAGATCTGGCCAAAAATCAACACAAATCAGGTCTGCAGATTATCAAGCGCTGTTGTTATTATTTATCTAATACAGTATAAGCAGCATAATCTAATTTGAATATTACCAGTATTTGATTTCTTAGCTGCCAACCAAGCTATAGTTTCCAAGTTTAATAGTTTAGTACTATTTTTTAAAATGTATGTATTGTATTGAGACTCTTCTACATAAAAATGAAATAAAAGATAGATGGATGGATGGATGGATGAATGGATGGATGGATGGATGGATGACTGGATAGATGGATAAGAAAAATTGTCTGTCAAACTAACAATGTTTATATTTAAATGCTTACTTTTTATAACATAGCTATTGGACTTCAATTAAAAATGAGAAAATATTCTACTGACCTAATAATGCATCATAAAAATTACAAAAATAATCATACAATGTCCATATCCACAGATTGGCTATTAATTAAACAATAGCTGACTATCCCAAAATATAAAAGTAATGTGGGACAATTCTCTGTTGGGTGTTCTGGTGCTAGATTATGGAATGCGATTCCAGAATATATCAGACATAATTCAAAATCTGTTTTAAGAGAGAACTAAAGTTATTTTTATTAAAGTAAACTTACCCATTATTTATATGTATATTTATGTAATCATGTATGTACTATACATCTTCTTTGAAATGAATTTTTTTGATAAATTTTATTTATTCTTGTGCTCTGAAATGGTATATTTGAAGTTGAAAAAGTAATAATTTTGCCCTATATATAGAATTATTCAATTGTTTTACATTTAAAGGGGCTGGACTTGATTAGTGTTTACCCTATTTTCTAGCTTCTTCCTATATTGGTTTACCAGTATGTGTTTATTTGAATTTTAGATTACATATACTTATTGAAAAAAATAAAGTTAAAAGTTTGAAAGTTGAAGTTGAATTTTCCTAGTAGCAAGTCTGTAATTAGCTAAAATATATTTCACAATTATAGAAAAACAAAAAAATATTTGTTTTGATGAACCACAATTAAGCAATGTACAGTATCTGATTGTTTTAAATGACCTATTAAATGCTCTTTGAAATATTTCCCTAAATTTTATGGTGTTTTAATCTCATAATGGATTTATAATAATTCTATAGTATGGTGCTTTAAATTTCTGCAATTTAATATTTCTAATTACTTACATTGTTTTGCAGAACCTGTGCCCCAGCATCTAATAGAAGTTCCAATATGCTTGCATGGCCGAAGTAGGCGGCCAGATGTAGAGCTGTATCACCATCATCCTGTTGAGGAATATTAATGATATTTAATAGTTAGTTTAATAGTCTGATTTTAATAGTTGTTGCCATAGGAAAAGAAAATGTGGAACAAACAAGCCAAATGAGTCACAAACATACTGCAATGTTATAAATTTTTAAATCTACTTTATTGCACTAAACTATCCTTTATAATATTTCTACACCATGCTATGTTGTTATTTTCCTCATTTTCAATGTTAAAACAACCATTTTAACAACTTACCTATCCTGAAACTGTTGTCCCCCTCATCATTTGAAAAGTTCTGGATCTGCCCCTGAATATAGTCCCTTCATTTTGCAAAAACATGTATCCCTTAATGGGGGGGGGGGGGAGGGGGGGGGGGTTTCCCTAAATAATAGGAATTTTTCGTTTTGACTACGGGGCCAGTCTACGACGAACCAATAGAGAGCGTAACAGACATCTGCGCATGCTCACAAACCTTACCTTTGCCTGAGCATGCCTGACACCCCTCTTCTCTCGGTTCCCGAGTCTTTTGACACCGGCTAGGCTAGGCTAGGCCTAGCCTGTAGGCCTATCCTAGCCAACAGCGAAACATCACTCAGTCTTTTCTGGAAACTTTTTATTTTGTATACAGTATGACTAAATTTTTTTTCACATTTCCTTTTTCAAATATAAAACAAGGGAACATTGTTCCCTGGTAATAAAACCATGGTCAACTACCCTCTCCGTAGGCCTACGTATGTGTGCTGCATCGTTGTAGTCGCCTTAAAAAAACGAAAACAGCTCTTGGTGTAGTATGCAAACAGTGTCTTGGCATTGCTGTCACAGTCGATTAGTTCATAGTAGACTGGCCGCGTAGTCAAAACGAAAGATGCCTAGTAATGTCCCTAAGGAGGGGTTCAACTGTATTTAAATAGAGTAATCATAGCTTTGATAACTTTAATCATGACTTTAATCAATCGACAACATATAAGGAAAAAAATTGAGATGAATTAGACGATTCAATGGTGGCTGCAGATCCTGACCTTCGCACCGGTCACCGATGTGAAAATCAGGATGAGAGATAAAATATTTTTTAAAATACAGTGAATCTTGCATAAGTCCACTTTGCCTTACTCAAATATGTCAATCTTATTTACATGCCAAGTTGTTGTGTTTTCCAATAATTAACAATTTGTAAGCCGAAAAATATCTAAAGTCAAACAATTTTTCAAAGTCATTTTGGATTCGACTTAAACAAGTTCAACTGTATATAAGAGATTGCAGCATCTGGTGGTTTGGTGAATTTCAACTCTCGCCTTTTAGAATAATGATAATAATTGTCGACTTATATATATAGCGAATATTGTAGGGACCTCTATGCGCTTACATTATCACCCCCGGATCACTGGATCTGGGGGGGGGGAGATAATGTCCCCCATGGGGGAATTCCATCATGTTGCAGCTGTATTCAGTGCAGGCTGTGCTTGAACCTACCAGGTACCCACTTGTACATCTCCTGGGTGGAGAGAGACAACCATATATAAAGTGCCTTTTCCAAGGACACAAGCGACTTGCACAGCGAGAGTTTTGAACACCCGACCTCAAAGTTGGGAGTCCAAGTCACAACCTATGCGCCAACCACTTCTACATGCCACCTGCCTCAACCATAGACAAAATTATCAATAAAATACATGCAATACTGTTTTTGCATTGTCTAAAAAAATATTAAAAAGTGACTGTAAATAATCGGTGGCTTGATTACTGTGATAAAGTACACTGTGAGTTTCATATTTTGATTTATGTCACAGTGCATTGTTAATAAAAAATCAATCACATTGAAAAAAAAACTATCACAGGGAAGATATATTTAATTGCTACAAATGCCAACAAGGGCAAAATTCTATGTTATCATATTCCCAAAGAAAGATATATATTTTTTAAATATATTTTTCATTTCATTTCTTTAGGCACGAGCGCCAAGGATATGCCAATAAGTGAACTTAATCACTGTCCTACGTGGCATATCCATTTAACAACAGAAGACTTAATAGACCAGTACACCGGGGTAACCCCCTTCTCGAATGATGTACTGGTTCTTTAAAGTGCACACGAGCCAAATGCGTACACTGGGCCTACGTTTTAAAGTCCTTATCCGAGAAGACTTGTTCAACCACGGGAACCATTGGCGAGTGAGCCGTTCGAACCAGCGCCGATATTAGAGCTGAAGGTTACGGTGCCCCTGACTTAACCGCTCGGCCAAACAAATCAACCAGAGCTGGAAACAACATAGGAACCCACTCAAAAGCTAAAATTTCATACACCTAATAAAGTAAAAGATGTCCACTGAGAACCAAGAAACTGCAAATATATTTGGTAGAGCAAGAAGATCAATGAGAGGAATGGACAGTATGTGAATTTCAAATTAGTGTTGGAAGTGGAAAAAGAATTTAAAAAAAAAATACTGGGGAAATTTGAGAAGATATCTAATTAAAGCATATAATACTGTATTAATTAACAAGAAAAATTCAAAAAGTTTT